TCCCCTTCGCCGGTCGACGACCGCCTCCTCCGGTCCCCCCCCCCGCCCCTCCCCACCGCCTCGACTCCCCCCTCCCCCCCACCCCACCCCCGCCGCCTTTCCTCGACTCGACCGACTCCCCCCCTCCCACTCCCTCCACTTTCCTCCCTCCTTCCCCTTCCCTCCCTCCCGCCTCCTCATGCCGACTCCTCCTCCCCTCATCGTCATTCTGATCCCTCCCCCTTCCCCCCTCCCTCCCCTCTGTCGGTACCCGCACACTTGTCTTCATATCACTGCGCCCATTGCACTGACTCGCATCCAGGTCGCCAACCTTGCAGTGGACCCGTCGCTGTGCAGGTAACGGTTGATCTTCCCAGCATCCTGAGCTTGACAAGGGGGGAACGACCCGCCGACCAAGCAGGCAGCTGGCCCTGCATCACTCGGACCCTGTCAAATCTCTCATGAACATCATCAAGGTCGGCTGGAGGAGCTGAAGGAAGCGTCCCGGTACTGATCGCGTCCTCCTCCTCCAGGACGCCCCCACGTCGTCAGCAGCAGAGGCCGCCTCACTCGCTCTCCGGAATCTCTCGGTGGACGACGAGAACAAGGCGAGGGAGTTTGACGTTTTTGTTTCCAGCTGATGCGCCGCCAGGTTACCATCCTTGAAGCCGGAGGGATCCAGACAGCATTGCATCTGCTGGGTGAGCAAGAGGAGGAGGAGGAGGAGGAGGAGGAGAAGGGGGAGGAGGAGGAGAAGCGAGAGGGTAAAAGAGGAGGACGAGATTTTCTGGGGGCAGGGGGGGGTCGGATGGGTGTTAAGTTCCTGATAGGGAACGATCAGTGGAAGCAACAAGAGAGAGGACAAAAAGAGGGAGGGAGGGAAAGAGGAAAGGAGGAGAAGGGAGGCAGGGAGGCAGGAGGCAGGGAACTGAAGTTGGTGCTGCTACAGCCACGTTCGAGCCCGAGGCGTTCGAGGACTCGGCAAGCCAGCAGGGGTCGCCCAAGAGGTCGGAGGGCTCCTTGATAGACGACGAGTACTCCTTCGACAGTGACATGGAGGAGTCGTACAACAGCGACGGGCCCTCCTCCTCCGCTGCTCCCCCAGCCCATTTCTCCCATCGCATCAGGAGAGCGATCCTGGAGCGGGCCAAGTTCATCACCAACGGGAGCAGGTGCGGCGACTGGCTGTGGCGGGAGGTGATGGGGGGAAGCGGCAGGTGCATCGGCATCAAGAACTCTGCCTTCCTGGGGGGCGCAGGGACGCTGCACGTGCGGCTGATGCAGTGCAAGTCGCTGCCGAGGATGGACGTAGGGAGGTGAGGGAGGAGGAGGAGGAAGAAGAGGAGGAAGGGACAGACATGGCAGTATCTTGATTTTTGTTTCTGTCATTCTCCCCCTTGTCAAAGTCCTAGTCCTGGTTTTTTCCTGTATTCATCCTCCTCCTCCTCCTCCTCCTCCTCCTCCTCTTCCTCATCGTCGCCTTCGCCTCTCTTTCTTCAGTTTCTGTTCCCATGTCCTCGTTGCTCTCGTTCCTCACGTTTGCTCCAACAGCCTCACAGATTGTTTCTGCCAACTCAGCGTCGGCGAAAAGTATCAAACGTCCAAGGCACTGACAGACAGACGTTGCCTGATAAATCCTGACTTCTTTCTCCTCCTCCTCCTCCTCCTCCTCCTCCTCCTCCTCCTCCTCCTCCTCCTCCTCCTCCTCCTCCTCATCATCATCATCATCATCATCATCATCATCATCATCACCGTCCGCTCCTCTTCCTCCTGCCCCACTCCTGCTCCTCCTCCTCCCCGCCTGTGCCTCTCTGCTCCTGCTTCTGCTGTCCCACAGGTTGTAGAGGACTCACTTGATCCGATCTTCGAGGAAGATTTCACCTTTGACATCATCAACTGCGCCAACCAGAAGCTTGTGATCCATTGTTCTCCCCGCTCTCGTTCTCTTGCTCCTCCCTCTTCATCTTCACCATCTACCTTGCTATGACAGTTCTCAGGGTGCTGCTAGCCCCTCCCTTCCCTTCCCTCCTCCTCTTCCTCCTGCTCCTCCTGCTCCTCTTCCTCCTCTTCCTCCTTTCATTCACCTCCTCTTCCTTCATTCACTCTGTGCCTATGCAGTCTCTCCGTGCCATGGACTTTGACGACATTGACGAGGAGGAGGAGGAGATTCGATTCAACAAGCTTGATGGAAAGGCAGACGAGGTGACGGCAATCGTGCCCTCACTTTCACTTCCTTCTCCTCCGCCCATCTTCCTTGCTGACTGATTCTCGTCGTGCTCCTCCTCCTCCACAAGTTCCTCCACCTCTTCCTCTTCCACTTTCCTCTTCCTCTTCCTCTTCCTCCTCCTTACCTTTTCCCTCCCCCTCTTACTCTCCTATCAGTCGAACAAGAACGCGACAGACAAAGCCGGGTCGATCCACGACTTCATCGGGTCATTGCAGGTCAGGAGCCCCAAATGATTTCAACCCGAGGGTTTCTGGTGACTCCAGAGACGATCGCAAAGATTCCAGCATCTTCGTCCTTTCCTCTCGCTCCTCTCTTCCCCTCTCTTCTCCTCACCTCTCCTCCCTGATCTTCTCCTCTCCTCAGATTGATCTGAAAGTTCTTCTGGCTGAAGAAGACTTCGTCCTCGAAGGTCGGGTCTACATTGCTGTTTCCAACTTTCATTCTCCTCCTTCCCTTACCCAAACTCTGCTTCCTGCCCTTCCCTCCCAATCCCTACCATCACCACCACTACACCCACCACTACCTCCTCCTCCTCCTCCTCCTCCTCCTCCTTCTCCCTCAATTCATCTCTCTCCCTGTCACCCTACTTCTCCTTTTCCTGACTCTGCAAGCAGACTGGCATCCACTCCTCGACGAAATGGGAAAATATGTAAAGGGACAGAGTAGCTCATGTACTGCTCTTCTTCCTTCTTCTCTCCTCTCCTATCCTCTCCTATCCTCTCCTCCCTGCTCTCCTCTCCTCTCCTCTCCTCCTCCCTCCCCTCCCCTCCCCTCCCCTCCCCTCT